CTTATGTGGGTTACATATCTCTGGGGACCTAGTTCCTAGATATAAAAAGAATTGAATTTGAACTACCTGGTTCTTCCAAAATGATTGAACACTAAAGAGTAGATTATAGGTCATACCAGCTTTCTCCTTTCTCCAAACTTTTGTTAAAGAGGAAAGAGAACTAACATTATTGAATAGCTACTAGGTACTAGACATGTAACAGACATTTCCCTCATCTAATACCCTCAAAACTCATTAAGATAGGTATTATTTGTATTTTTCAGGAGAAATCTGGGGTTTAAGAAGTGATTAAGTAATATCCCCAAGGTGACACAACAGAGCCAGGATGTATACTTAGGTCAGGGTCTAAAGCTAAAGATCTATTTCTCAGTTACAGCAAAAAAACAGCCAGAGGAATGGGATAATTCTAAATATTGCATAAATATGACAATTCAAGCGAGATAAAGGATGGATTACTTTATAGTGCTGTGCTATGTTAATCATTTCAAAAAGAATTAAGATAGATCCCTACTTCAAACTAAGTAACAGAAGCACCTGGCTGGCTCAATCAGTAGAATCTGCAACTCTTGATCTTATGGTCATGAGTTCGAGCCCCGCGTTGGGCATGGAGCCTACTTAAAAAAAAATAAAAAACAAAAATAAAGTTTGAAATGTAAAAAAATATATATATTTAAAGAAAATACTATATAATTGTATTTAACACTTATATTGTGCTTACTATGTTTCAGACCGAATTCTGTTTCAATCCTCTTACCACCCCTATATTACTTTTATCCCTATTTTACAAATAAAGCATCTGTGACACACAGAGTTTAAGTACCTGGCCTAAGGTCACAGTTAGTAAATGGCAGAACCAACATTCAAAGCCAAAGAAGCAAATCCAATGAGTCTATCCCTAGAGTCTGTGCTCTTACCCATTATGCTTACCCATTACACCCAAAGTGAATATATAAAAATCATGGACTACTCTAAGCAGGAACCCAAAAGTGTTACCATAAAGGAATAAATTGATGGGTTTTATTATCTAAAGATATTAGAGATCTGTATGTCAAAAGATGCCATAAATAACAATAAACAATACGCAAGAAACTATCTGAAAAATATATGGCAAAAGGTCACTACCCTTAATATAAGAGCTCTTATCCTCAACATCATTCATCACCAGGGAAATACAAATCAAAACCACAATGAGATACCACCTCACACCTGTCAGAATGGCTAAAATTAGCAACACAATTAACAGCAGGTAATGGAGAGGATGTGAAGAAAGGGCAACCCTCTTGCACTACTGGTTGGGATGCAAACTGGCATAGCCATTATGAAGAAAAGTATGGAGGTTCCCCCCCCAAAAAAAACCCTAAAAACAGAACTACCCTACAATCCAGCAATTGCACTATTAGGTATTCACCCAAAGGATACAAAAATATAGATTTGAAGGGGTACATGCAACCCAATGTTTATAGTAGCATTATCAACAACAGCCAAACTATGGAGAGAGACCAAATGTCCATAGACTGATGAATGGATAAAGAAGATACATATACGGGGGTGGCTGGGTGACTCAGATGGTTAAACATTCAACTGTGCCTCAGGTCATGATCCCATGGCTTGTGAGTTCAAGCCCCATATCAGGCTCTGTGCTGACAGCTCAGAGTCTGGAGGCTGCTTTGGATTCTGTGTCTCCTTCTCTCACTGCCCCTCCCCTGCTTTCACTCTATCTCTCACTGTCTCAAAAATAAATAAACATGAAAAAAAAATTTTAAAGATACATATCACGCACACACACACACACACACACACACACACACACACACACACAGAGGAATATTACTCAGACATCAAAAAGATTCAAATCTTGCTATTTGCAATTGTGTGGATGGAGCTAGAATGTATTATGCTAAGCAAAATAAGTCAATCAGAGAAAGGTAAATACCATATAATTTCATTCATATGTGGAATTTAAGAAACAGATGAACATATGGGAAGGGGGGGTAGAAAAGAGAGGGGAAAAAAACCACAAGAGACTCTTAATGACAGAGAACAAACGGAGAGTTGATGGAGGGAGGTAGGTGGGAGATGGGCTAGGGTGATGGGTATTAAGGAGGGCACTTGTGATGATCACTGAGTGTTGTATGTAAGTGATGACTCACTGAATTCTCCTGAAACCAATATTGCACGGTATATTAACTAAAATAAAAATAAATACGATCTCTTACCAATACCAAAAAAAAATTCACACTTAGAAAAATGAGCAAATGATATGAAGAATGGCCAAAAATATATGAAAAAGTAGTCAATCCACGATTAATCAAAGGAGCACAATTAAAATAACAATGAGATACCATCTCTCAAACTGGTAAGCAGGTTAAGTGTCTGACTTAGGCTCAGGTCATGATCTCACAGATTGTGAGTTTGAGCCCCACATCAAGCTGTGCTGACAGCTCGAAGCCTGGAGCCAGCTTCGGATGCTGTCCCTCTCTCTCTCTCTCTCTCTCTGCCCCTTCTCTGCTCACATGTGATTTGTCTCTCTCTCAATGTCAAAAATGAATAAACATTAAAAAAATGTGAACGCCCAATATTGGTAGAGAATGTCAAGTCAGATTGTAGAAAAGCAGTCCTTTTTAGTCAATGGAAAGGGCCCACTGGTAAGTCAATTACTCAAAAAAATTCAAATAAAGTAGGAAATAATAAAAAACAATGCATAAATATCTACATTTAACTCAATACATAAATGTACATAAAATTCACTAATCTTTTCAATAGTCCACTGATTACTACAAGGAAACTTCACCTTGACTTTGTTGTAATAAACTATTAGCCAAAGACACAATTCAAAACTTGATTTCTTTAAAGGAAGACAAATCTTTATTCACATTTATAAAACAATCTGAAAGCAAAAATCCCTCTAGCATCTTTAAAAAAATTTTTTTTAAATGTTCATTTACTTTTGAGAGAGAGACACGGTGCAAGGGGGGAAAAGGCGGAGAGAGAGGAAGACACAGAATGCGAAGTAGGCTCCAGGCTCTGAGCTGTCAGCACAGAACCCGACTTGGGGCTCAAATTCATGAAACACGAGATCATGACCTGAGCCAAAGTGGGGTGCTTAACCAACTGAGCCACCCAGGCACCCCCTTACCTAGGGTTTAAAAAAAAATCTTTTCAGGGTGCCTGGGTGGCTCAGTCAGTCAAGCGACCAACTCTTGATTTTGGCTCAGGTCATGATCTTGTGGTTTGTGAGTTCAAGCCCCCTAACAGACTCTGTGCTAATAACATGAAGACTTCTTAGGATCCACTGTCTCTCTTCTCTCTCTCTCTTGCTCTCAAAATAAATAAACTTTATTTTTTTTATTTTTTTATTTTTTTAATTATTTTTTTTTAATGTTTTATTTATTTCTAGGAGAGAGAGACAGCGTGAGCAGGGGAGGGTCAGAGAGAGAGAGAGTCATAGACTGAAACAGGCTCCAGGCTCTGAGCTGGCAGTCAGAACAGAGCCCGACGCGGGGCTCGAACCCACGAACCGCGAGATCATGACCTAAACGAAAGTCGGACGCTTAACCGACTAAGCCACCCAGGCGCCCCATTAAACTTTATTTTTTTTAAATAAATAAACTTTAAAGACAAATAATTCTTTTTTCCTAACATTGCGCACTTATCTTGCTCACACATATTATAGAAGTTTTTTTATAAAACCTCTCCTTTATCAAGTCTTTATAATGCAATCATTAGTTTTCAAAGACATAATCACTCTGCTTTTTCAGTCATATTACAAGGTGAACATATTTAATTAACATAATTTCAAAAACAATAAAACTGGTACTATAACTGATCCTTGTAAGCATTCAACTTAACCAGTAGTGTCAGCAGTATGCAGATCTCAGAAAAGAGCTCATAAGCCATGAATGTGCTGTGACATAAGCCATGAATGAGTACTAGTCAATATATTTTATATAGGAAATGCAGAGCAACAGTTAGCTCAATAAATTAGTTCAGTGGAAGTCAGTTAAAACATACCAAAAGTCTTATAATCTGCATTCTCTTTGACTCAACAACTCTATTTTGATTTCTTCCTATCTTTGTGAGTAAAGGGTTAGCTAAATATACCACCAAAATATGAAATCAGGACATCAAAAATACCTGAAAGTCCAGTAATGTAAAACTGGAGAAAATAAACTGTAGTAAAATCATACAGCAGAATACTATGCAGTTCTTAAAAGAATATGTAAAAAGAAGGCATACAATGAGGAACATAACGTATTATTAAAGAATATAAAGCAAGTTATAAAACAGCATATACTATAAAAACCTATTTTGATAAAATATTTAATGAAAAGACAGGGAGATTACTACTATAATTATTACTAATATAGGCTTTTAAACAAAGTTCACATTAGTTATTTTCAGATGGTAGAACGTGAGTGATTTTTCACTTTTTATATTTCCTAAATTCTCATCACTATATATATCTATGTTGGTTTTGTAATGTGGGAAAAAAATAGCTATTTTAAAAAATGTATCACACAATAAGAAATGGAAGGTTTTAATATAATCAGTTTATCCACATATTTCTCACTTATACTTCCATGGTAGTTAGAAAGGGCATTCTCACAAAGACCTCTGAAAATTACTCAATATGCTACACTTGGAATTTTGAGAAAATGTCCCTGTCTTGAAGGCAATGAGACAGAAATAAGAGCAATGACAAATTATACAAACAGCTACCGGCGTTATCCAAAAGCCACTAAGTACCTCTGCTAAAACATACATATGTAAACTTCAGATAATTCCTTTCTCTATGATTAACAGTGAGTAGATTTGTGTACATATTCTATGTGGACCCAAATACCGGTTTTGCCAAAATCATCACACTTCAGCTGTGTTATCTTAACAATGCACAGTAAATATAAGACACATTAATTATGAATGTTTATAAGCACTCAGGCATAGAAAATGAAAAAATAACATTCCATTATATTTTCTCCTCACTTTATCAAAATACTTACACTTTCAGCATGAATTCTGGAAAAAGTAGTGTATGGTGCCAAAAACTTTGAGGATGCATTTTCCTCAGGACAAGAAATATGAATGCTTTTCTAAATAGAGACGGAAAGATAAAATTCATCAATGAAGTTACTCCAATGAAATTAAATCTCTTAAAGAGAACATTAGGATGACAGGGAATTTTCTTTTCTTTTATTTTTTTTTTACAAATAGTTCATTGTCAAGTTGGTTTCCATATAACACCTGGTGCTCATCCCCACAACTGTCCTCCTCTATACCCATCTCCCCCCACCCCCAACACCCATGAGTCCTCACTTTGTTCTCAGCATTCAAGAGTCTCTCATGGTTTGCCTCTCTCCCTTTCCCCCACCATTTCTCCCCTTCTTCTCCCCCATGGTCCTCCGTTAAGTTCCTCCCAATCCTCCTATACATGCAAACATATGATCTTTGTCCTTTTCTGCCTGACTTATTTCGCTCAGCATAACACCCTCAAGGTCCATCCATGTTTGTACACATGGCCAGAGTTCATTCTTTCTCATTGCCGTGTAGTATTCCATCGTATAGATAAAAAACATCTTCATCCATTCGTCCGTTGATGGACACTTAGGCTCTTTCCATGTTTTAGCTATTGTGGAGAGTGCTGCTATGAACATTGGGGTACATGTGCTCCTATGTATCAGCACTCCTGTATCCCTTGGGTAAATTCCTAGCAGTGTTATTGCTGGGTCATAGGGGAGTTCTATTGTTAAGTTTTTGAGGCACCTCCACACTGTTTTCCAGAGAGGCTGTACCAGTTTACATTCCCAACAACAGTGCAGGAGTATGCCCGTTTCTCCACAACCTCGCCAGCATCTAGAGTCCTCTGATTGGCTCATTTTAGCCACTCTGACTGGCGTGAGGTGGTATCTCAGTGTGGTTTTGATTTGTATTTCCCTGATGAGGAGGGATGCTGAGCATCGTTTCATGTGTCTGTTGGCCATCTGGATGTCCTCTTTGGAGAAGTATCTGTTCATATCTTCTTCCCATTACTTCACTGGGTTGTTTGTTTCTCGGGCATGGAGTTTGGTGAGTTCCTTATAGATTTTGGAACCCTTTATCTGATATGTCATTTGCAACTATCTTTTCCCATTCCGTTGGTTGCCTATTAGTTTTGTGGGTTGTTTCCTTTGCCGTGCAGAAGCTTTTAATCTTGATGAGGTCCCAAAAGTTTATTTTTGCTCTTGATTCCCTTGCATTTGGGGATGTGTTAAGTAAGAAGTTGCTGCGGTGGAGGTCAAGGAGGTTGTTTCCTGCTTTCTCCTCTAGGGTGTTGATAGTTTCCTGTCTCACGTTCAGGTCCTTTATCCATTTTGAGTTTATTTTTGTGTATAGTGTGAGAAAATGATCTAGTCATTCTTCTGCATGTTGCTGTCCAGTTCTCCCAACACCATCTGTTAAAAAGGCTCTTTTTTCTATTGGATACTCTTTCCTGCTTTGTCAAAGATTAGTTGGCTGTATACTTTTGGGTCCACTTCTGGGTCCACTTCTGAGTTCTCAATTCTGTTCCATTGGTCTATGTGTCTATTTTTGTGCCAATACCATACTGTCTTGATGATGACAGCTTTGTAGTAGAGGCTAAAGTCTGGGATGGTGATACCTCTCGTTTTGGTTTTATCCTTTAGTATTACTTTGGCTATTCGGGGTCTTTTGTGGTTCCATACAAATTTTAGGATAGTTTGTTCTAGTTTTCAGAAGTATGCTGGTGCAATTTTCATTGGAATTGTATTGAATGTGTAGATTGCTTTCAGTAGTAATGACATTTTAACTATATTTATTCTTCCAATCCATGAGCATGGAATGTTTTTCCATTTCTTTGTGTCTTCTTCAATTTCCTTCATAAGTTTTCATCATACAGATCTCTTGTATCCTTGGTTAGGTTTATTTCTAGGTATTTTATGTTTTTTTGTGCAATTGTGAATGGGATCAGTTTCTTGATTTCTCTTTCTGATGTTTCATTATTGGTGTATAAAAATGCAACCAATTTCTGTACGTTGATTTTGTACCCTGCAACTTGGCTGAATTCTTGGATCAGTTCTAGTAGGCTTCTGGTGGAGTCTGTCGAGTTTTCTATGTAGAGTATCATGTCATCTGCGAAGAGTGAAAGTTTGACTTCCTCTTTGCCAATTCTGATGCCTTTGATTTCCTTTTGTTGTCTGATGGCTGATGCTAGGACTTCCAGCACTATGTTAAACAACAGTGGTGAGAGTGGACATCCCTGTCGTGTTCCTGATCTCAGGGGGAAAGCTCTCAGTTTTTCCCCGTTGAGGATGATGTTAGCTGAAGGCTTCTCATAGATGGCTTTGATGATGTTTAAGTAGGTTCCTTCTATCCCAACTTTCTCGAGAGTCTTTATTAAGAAGGGATGCTGTATTTTGTCAAATGCTTTTTCTGCATCTATTGACAGGATCATATGGTTTTTATCTTTTCTTTTATTGATATGATGTATCACATTGATTGATTTGCGAATGTTGAACCAGCCCTGTAACCCAGGAATGAATCCCACTTGATCTTGGTGGATGATTCTTTTGATATGCTGCTGGATTCGATTTGCAAGGATCTTGTTGAGAATTTTTGCATCCGTATTCATCAAGGATATTGGCCTATAGTTCTCTTTTTTTGCTGGATCTCTGTCTGGCTTGGGAATCAGAGTGATGCTGGCTTCATAAAATGAGTCCGGGAGTTTTCCTTCGACTTCTATTTTTTGGAATAGCTTGAGAAGAATTGGGATTAATTCTGTTTTAAATGTCTGGTAGAATTCCCCAGGGAAACCATCAGGTCCAGGGCTCTTATTTGTTGGGAGATTTTTGATCACTGATTCGATTTCTTCACTCGTTATGGGTCTGTTCAGGTTTTCTATTTCTTCCCGTGTGAATTTTGGTAGTGAGTGTGTGTTTAGGAATTTGTCCATTTCTTCTAAGTTGTCCAATTTGTTGGCATATAATTTTTCATAGTATTCCCTGATAATTGCTTGTATTTCTGAGGGGTTGGTTGTAATAAGTCCATTTTCATTCATAATTTTGTCTATTTGGGTGCTCTCTCTTTTCTTTTTGATAAGCCTGGCTAGAGGTTTGTCAATTTTGTTTACTTTTTCAAAAAACCAACTCTTGGTTTCATTGATCTGTTCAATTGTTTCTTTGGTCTCTATGTTGTTTATTTCTGCTCTAATTTTTACTATTTCTCTTCTTCTGGGTTGAGGGTGTTCTTGTTGCTCTGCCTCTAGTTCCTTTAGGTGAGCTGTTAGATTTTGGATTTGCACTTTTTCTAATCTCTTGAAATAGGCCTGGAGTGCAATGTACTTTCCTCTTAGGACTACCTTTGCCACATCCCATAGATTTTGGATTGTTGTGTTTTCATTTTCATTTGTTTCCATATATTTTTTAATTTCCTCTCTAATTGCCTGATTGGCCCATTCATTCTTTAGTAGGGTGTTCTTTAACCTCCATGTTTTGGGAGGTTTTCCAGACTTCTTCCTGTGATTGATTTCAAGTTTCATGGCATAATGATCTGACAGTATGCATGGTATGATCTCAATTCTTTTATATTTATTGAGGGCTGCTTTATGTCCTAGTATGTGATCTATCTTGGAGAATGCGCCCTGCGCGCTTGAGAAGAAAGTAAATTCCCTGGCCTCAGGAAGTAAAGTTCTAAATATATCCGTCAGATCCATCTGGTCCAATGTGTCTTTCAAGTCAATTACTTCTTTAGTGAATTTCTGTCTGGTTGACCTATCCATTGCTGAAGCGGAGTATTAAAGTCCCCTGCTATTAGCACATTCTTATCTATGAGCTTGTTTCTGTTTGTGATTGTTTTAGATATTTAGGTGCTCCCATATTCGGTGCGTAGACATTTATGATTGTTAGTTCTTCCTGATGGATGGACCCTGTAATTATTATGTAGTGCGCTTCTTCATCTCTTGTTATTGTCTTTAATTTAAAGTCCAGTTTATCTGATATAAGTATAGCTACTCCGGCTTTCTTTTGATTTCCTGTAGCATGATATATGTTTCTCCATCCCCTTACTTTTTTTTTTTTAATGTTTTATTTATTTCTAGGAAAGAGAGAGAGAGAGACAGCGTGAGCAGGTGAGGGCCAGAGAGAGAGGGAGTCACGGACTGAAACAGGCTTCAGGCTCTGAGCTGCCAGTCAGCACAGAGTCCAACGCAGGGCTCGAACCCACAAACCGCGAGGTCATGACCTAAGCGAAAGTCGGACGCTTAATCAACTAAGCCACCCAGGCGCCCCACCCATCCCCTTACTTTTAATCTGAACGTATCTTCCAGTCTAAAATGAGTTTCTTGTAGACAGCATATAGATGGATTTTGTTTTTTTATCCATTCTGCTACATTATGTCTATTGATTGGAGCATTCAGCCCATTTACATTCAGTGTTATTATTGAAATATGTGGGTTTAGAGTCTTTGTATCTTTTGTAGGGTTCATGTTTGTGGTGGTGTCTCTGGTATCCTTGTTACTTGCAACATTTCCTTCAGAGCGTCCCCCTCAGGATTTCTTGTAGGGCTGGCTTATTGATGACAAATTCTCTCAATTTCTGTTTATTTGGAAAGATTTTTATCTCTCCTATTTTGAATGACAGGCTTGCTGGATAGAGGATACTAGGCTGCATATTTTTTCTGTTCATCACATTGAAGATCTCCTGTCATTCCTTTCTGCCCTGACACGTTTCAGTAGATAGGTCTGTCACCAGTCTGATAGGTTTCCCTTTGTATGTTAGGGCCCTTTTCTCCCTAGCTGCTTTCAGAATTCTCTCTTTGTCCTTATATTTTGCCATTTTTACTGTGATATGCCATGCAGAAGATTGATTCAAGCTACGTCTGCGGGGAGTCCTCTGTGCCTCTAGTATTTCAACGTTTACTTCCTTCCCCAGGTCAGGGAAGTTCTCTGCTATAATTTGTTCCAGGACTCCTTCAGCACCTTTCCCCCTCTCTTCCTCTTCTGGGATTCCAATGATATGGATATTGTAGAATTTGACCATATAGCTGAGCTCTCGAACTCTTCTTTCATGTTCCTGGATCAGTTTGTCTCTTTTATTGTCAG